GAAGAGGAAGTGGAGGGAGGAGAGCGTGAGAAGGTGAGAAGGTGACATCCAACAGCAAAGCTAATGCAATACAATAGTACCAAACGCGCAACCGCTTCCACGTACGTCCTTCCACTATGGACGTGACTAGTAGATCATATGTATCTTTCTTTGTGCAATCCAATACTTGCATCAAAAATGATCCTCGGTACGGAGACCATGGCAAAAATATCGAAACTTCGAGCTACGGCTGAAATGTTGGTCGCGGTCGTTGCGGCTGCTCGTTGCGTGGGGCGTTCACAGGGCTTTCGAGGCGTTGGACCAGGAGGGGACGGGCCACGTCACGCGAGAAAAGATCATGACGCTGCTCAAGACGATCAGGTATCGCGCACGGCGAGAGTTTCCCGCGTGTAGAGGTTCACGGTGCGATTTCTCTACGGTAGTGCGCAAGAATTTCCCTCTCGAAGGGGTATACCGTGCGATTTACTTCGGTAGTGCGTTATTACCGTACTTTTTATGTCTGCTCATGGTATGGTATTCCTGACGTGTGATGAGTGATAATTTGATGTTTGCGGTGGTGGTGGAATCGTAGTCGTTGCTTGAGGCATCTTCCCTCACGAAGGGGTAAACCGTGCGATTTACTACGGTAGGGCGTCACCGTACTTATGTCGGCTTATGGTATGGTATTCCTGGTGTGTGACGAGTGATAATTTGATGTTTGCGGTGGTGGTGGAATCGTGGTCGTTGCTTGAGGCATCTTCCCTCACGAAGGGGTACCCCGTGCGATTTACCACGGTAGTGCGTTATTAACGTACTTAGGTCGGCTTATGGTATGGTATTCCTGACGTGTGATGAGTGATAATTTGATGTTTGCGATGGTGGTGGAATGATGGTCGTTGCCTAAGGCATCTTCGCGTCTTGAATGGTGGTCCCATGTAGTGTATTCCTCTGCTCGAACAAAAGTCTCCGTGCGATGTGTGTGCGTGCTTGTGAGCATCGACCGCGCCAACCGGCTGACCAATGAAAAATCACGAGTCTCAAGTACGTGTATTTGTGTGTCTGTCGGGCGCAGGCCGCACTACGGCGAGTCGAAGCGGTACATGATGTACGAGAGGATCGTGCAGAGCGCCAGCCTCCGCGGCAGGCCGGCCCAGAGGAGAGGCAGGGCTGAGAAGGAGTATGAGGCGGCCGAAGTTACGCAGGTACCTCTACAGCCGGTATCAAAACGTCCTTCTCCGGGACCGTCAATTGCCGTGTATTACGCAAAGAAAACACACCCACATAAGATAACACCGCATTCGGTGGTACAGAGTTGTGGTCTCGATGAAGTGGCATGTAGGGGCAGAGCAAAATATGTCACTATTCACGGTAAGGGGCCACTATAACGGGTTTATGTACAACAATTTTGAGATTGTGACAAAAGAGATGTTGATGCCATATATCGGGCATTTCACTATTCAGGGTGCCACTGTAACCGGGGCCACTACTGTCACAATTTTACGGGTCAATATTGTCCCCAAGAGGTAAGAACAGGACGATGTAAGATACCACACCCCCGACACAGCGGTATCACACCCGTTGATCAGTGTTTTATTACTGTCTCCGCCTTTTGCCAATACAATATACCAACGCCTAAAATCACTTGTCCGCATGACGTCGACGGCAATGAAAAGGAGGGAGTAATCTTGTCCCCGGGGGGTATTCTTAGTGCGGTGGTGTCCGGGTACAACACCAGCATCGCGATAAAAACACCGGCATCAACAACAGCCGCAGAACCGCAGCAGACGTGACTTCCGATCTAACCACGAACAGTTAAGATAGGTGCCCTTAAGCCGGGGAAGTAAGTGTCCTTAAGGTTGATACCCCTTCTTATGTTGTACATTCTGCGAGCCACCATGCCTGTGGCAGAAAAAGGTTGCCCTTAACCGAGGGAGTTTCCTTAGTTTGGTACCCTTAAGCGAGTATCGACTGTGGTATTATATACCATATAGTATATTTATATGTTTTTTTGGTTGTTCCAGGTGTACCGACGAGACTTCTGCAACAACGTGGTGGAGGCTCTCAGCCTCAAGATCAGAACCATGCGCGAACAGAACATAGCCAGGTGCGGCAGCATGTTGTTTTTGTGTGCTACTTACTCCGAGGTTCCTGGTGTACACAATCGGGACCGAGAGATGGATTGGTGTAGCTTGCGGTGGTTGATGTGGTCCGCTGGTGTAGCTTGCGACGGCAACGCTGCGCGCGGAATCTTGACGATAGGGACTGTGGTCCGTTGATGTTCCTTGCGATGGTTCGCTGTGCTCGCAATGGTGAAAACAGGGACGTGGTCGGTTGGACTAGCTTGCGGTGGGCTCGATGTGTTGGCAATCGCGCCGGAGGGAGATGACTAGAAAATGACGGGTGTGGTTTCTCTTGGTGTCTGCAATCGCGCAGCAGAGACGAAGGAACCGACACGTTTGCTTTGACCCTTCCTCCGTAGCTCTGTGAATGCCTGCAGATGTATCTCATCCTACAAAAGTTAAAAAAAACAGTGAATTATGTATTTTTGAAGACATTCCCCACGACAACCATCATGACCAACGACCCCCCCCCCCCCCCCCCCCCCCCCCCCC